CAATGACTCTCTCATCATTGATGTTTCTATCTCTCTCTCTCCTTCTCCTTTCCTCTCTCTGAAATCAATAAAGATATATTTAAAAAAAAAAAGAATCCAGAAATATGAAGATAGCATAAGGAGCCTCTGGGACAACTTCAAGAGGCCCAACATTCGTCTTATTTGGGTGCCAGAAGGAGTGGAAAGAGAGCAAGAAATTAAAAATGTACTTGAAAAAATAGTTACAGAAAACTTCCCCTACCTGAGGAAAGAAATAGACTTACAAGTTCCAGAAGTACAAAGGGTCTCAAACAAGAGGAACCCAAAGAGACCCACAGCAAGACACATCATAATTAAAATGCCAAAGGTTAAAGACAAAGAGAGAATCTTAAAAGCAGCAAGAGAAAAGCAATTAATTACATACAAGGGAACATCCATGCGACTGTCAGCTGATTTCTCAACAGAAACTTTGCAGGCCAGAAGGGAGTGGCAAGAAATATTCAAAGTGATGAAAAATATGGAACTACAACCAAGATTACTCTACCCATCAAAGCTATCATTTAGAATTGAAGGTCTGATAAAGAGCTTCTCAGACGAGGAAAAACTAAAGGACTTCATCACCACCAAACCAGCACTACAGGAAATGTTGAAGGGTCTTCTTTATCAAGAAGCTAATGAACAAAAGAATCTGATGAACTAAATAGATCCAGGGACATTGACTCATGTAACAGATGATCATATTTCAGAGAGAAGAGGGAAGGGGGGTGGAGGGTAGGAAGAGATTAACCAAAGAAGCTATATGCATATATGCATAACCCATGGACACAGACAATGATGGGGTGAAGGCCTGGGGAGGGGGTGGGAGCTAGGTGGAGGGGGTCAATTGGGGGGAAAAANTGATGGGGTGAAGGCCTGGGGAGGGGGTGGGAGCTAGGTGGAGGGGGTCAATTGAGGAGGAAAATGGGACACCTGTAATACTTTGAACAATAAAGATAAATTTTTAAAAAAAGAAGTACATTAAGAGAAAAGGAAACCTGATGACTCCAGGGACCAGCACACCTCCAAAGAGAAAGAAGAAACTAGCCCTTACAAGGCACTACAAGAATTCACCACCATATAGGCACTAAAGAAGCTGAGGGAAAGGCTCAGAAGAAATCCTCGAGTGCTCGGGGACCCAGGGGCACCTTGTCATTCAAGTTCTTAGGTCTGCAGTCCATGAGCAGTGCCATGGAAGTCCAGTGTCCAAGTGAAAAAGGTGGCTCAAGTGGGGAGGGCACATCTGGGAATGCCATGTCTGTGCCCATGGCTACTGCTGGAACCAATGACACAGGGAATCTGCCCCCCAGACCCCCAAATGACCCACTCTATGGTTCGATGATGTATTTGTACAACACCTGTTATTCCGTCCTGATGGCTGACCTTTCAGTGATGGCTCCACCTAAAGACCCTGAGGACAACGAGGAGGAGGAAAACTCCTCAGATAACAAGTGTTCACTCTGTGAGCAGTTCAAGGACAATGCAGGCCCCTAAGCTCACAAGTGACAGAAAACAATCACCACTTTGCAACCACTAATCCATTTTGGCTTTAATAAAGTAAAGCAAAACTACATGGTAGTAAATAAACAATCCAATGAGGATTGTGTGTCCATGTTCTTCTGTTTCCGTGCCACACACCTCATCAGATGAGCCCGAGGAGGCTAGAAATCCTGACTCCAGACAGGCTTTTGTTCCTGTTATCCTCTTTCATTTTCACACACTCAGCCAAGGATCTGGAAAGGGAGTCCTGAGGTAAAGCCAGGAAGATCAGGTTCCTGGGCTCTGCCTGCTGGTCAGGAGGGAGTACTGCCTGGCTCCTAACCTTGGGGGGATGACTTTACATTTGTCTTGCATCTTGAAACAGGAGAGTTTTTCCTCACGGGTCTCCCTGTGATGCCAGGAAGTTCCTGATCAGCATCTGAGTGTCTCTAACCCAAATTCCAGGGGCCTCCAGGGAGACCCACCTAAAACTTGGACCATTCCATCTGGTAAGTAGTGTAAGACCATTCCAGTCAATGCCTGGGAGAAAGCCCATCATCCTCACATCTAACCACCATTAGGAACTCTGCTAGAAGGGACCTAAATAAATAAAAGATTGCCCACAAAGAAAAACAAAAACCTCTACTCAACACTTTCCCACCCAAGCTGTATTTCAGATTCTTTCTTTGGTCACTAAGTAGCTATGTGACATGTATAACACTCAGCTCCATGACCCAAGGGACACTTTTACAAGAGACAAGAATCACTTGCCAGGACAGATAGGTGGTTTGTTTCAAAGTCTGATGTCCCCTTCATGGTGAATGAGGCCATCCCTGGCTGGTCACCCTCTGGCAATCATTCAGTGGCTGCTCACATCCCTCCACAATGTCCCCCGAATGCTGTTGAAGGGTTCTATGAGTTTGACCAGAAACAAGAGAGGGGAAAATGTGTAAGGGAGCCCCAAATACTAACCAGTTTTCTTAAAACATATTTCTTTGTACAACCCAGGAATGAGCAGGACCAAAATGAGTGACAGCACCAAGATATTTCATGGCAGCTTCCCCTTTTCCCTAAAAGTGAAAGTCCTTGATACTGTCAATGAGCCCAGAGAGGCATTTCATGAGGAAAGTCCCCTGCATCTGAGAGCAGAAATCTATTTACAAGAACAGCAGTGGTGGGTAGCTCTCTCTCCACAATGGTGCCAATTCAGCTTGAACCTAATTTCTACGTCTGGGGCATGATGGCCAGTTGATGGTCATGATTCAGCTGGTTTCTTGGTAACTTTCCTGTGAGGAGTCCTCTTGCCCCAAGTGGGTCAGGTGTTCTGGCATGTCTCCCTGGAAGATATCTTTTCCTGGTTATGGGCTCCAGTAACCATCTGGGGTTTGAAAGTGCAGTCAGGTACTTCTGTTTGGCCAGTACAACCTGATTTCCACTTCTACAACCTCATCAAGAGCTATGTTTTCCAGGCACTGCAAAATTTCCCCAATGTCAGCAAGTCCTGTGCACCAGAAAGAAGCACAGAGATGTTTTTCCTTCCATAAACCAAGGCCTGCCTGTAAGAGAAAATGATTATTCAAAGCTACGACCACTAGGGACTAAGCTGATTTCACCAAACAACACAGAGTGACCTGGGTCTCTCTGACTGAGTACTTCCAATGTATCAAACTGTTCAGGGAATTCTGGCTGAGGCCAGGGGAAAGAGAAATGAAGAGAACAGGGCCTGGTCCTCAACAACTCCACCCAGTAATGGGCACGTCCCAGCCAGACTTCTGAGGGCAGCATGTACAGGTCAGATGCTGTGGGGAACTCACAGACAATCGAGTCCCATACACTTTACCAGGTGAAAGGGGCTGATGTGGGAACCTCAACCACTGAGGGGTGAGGGAACTTGCTCAGGATGCCATGGGCAGTGGGGGTGGGGCAGGTGTGTGAAGTCAGGCAGACAGCCTGAGTCTGGAGGCCACCCAACTTTTTCTGTGTGCTGTGCAGCTTCTTGTGGTATGTCACATGCACACACGCATATACACACAAAAACACACATGTGAACACACAGCCAACACCCCATGCATATTCAGACCTGTCCCTGCCTCTCAGATCACCAAGAGGAACTGAGGCCCAGAGAAGACAGAAGGGTTCATCCAAGGTGGTAAAAATTCAGACCACAAAAACCCAGCCCAGGGCCCCTTACTGCCCCTTTGAAGGTGTGCTGCTTTCAGAAACCACAGGCCCACTCCAACAGGTTCAAAAGAAAATAAGCTCCAAACTCTTGAGCAAGGTCCTAGGGAAACCCTTGGAGGGGTCTATGCAATTCTGGGTTGTGACCACTTGCCAGCAATCACTCCACAGCCTTACTTCTTCCCTTCCCAAAGCAAGGCCTGAATCTGCATGGGGTTGCACTCCAACCTCTCCAGCAGCAGCTGCCTCCAGACGGCATCTTCCTAGTCACTGTGAACAATGTGGATGAAGAGGGTACAGTACTGGTGGCTGCTCAGCACAGCACTCCAACAAATCTCCAGAGTCTTGACCCTATTTAAGACAAAACCTGCATAAGGTTGCCGGAAAGAGAGGCAACAGAACTTCATCTCCCCAGAGATCCATGGGCCTGACATGGCCTGTGGAAATGCAGAACCGTGAATGTCAATAAACATCATGCACCAGCCCTCTAAGCTCATGGCCTGTGGACTGACCTCTCCCCAGTGTCGTCTGTGGGTCCTGAAATCACAATGACAGTGATGGTGAGAGAGCACAGAATATTGACTCCTTCTTCCTATCACCATGCAGTCAGCTGCCAGGCACAATGGAAAGGGCTGGTGGTCATCATAAGATAAGTGAGCTCTGCAAGCCTGATGAAAATCATCAGGACCCAAGAGAGAACCAGTACCTGGTGGTGATGCAGCTGTTCAGACCTGAGGAGGAGGACTAGCAGGAAGAGGCCCTGTCTCCCTCCTCCTCTGTCTCTTCCTCCTTCTCAGTCCTGTTACCAGACAGCCTGGAAGAGGTGGCTGCTGCTGAGACAAGAAGTCCTCCCAAAAGCCCTCAGGGTGCCTGCCCTCCCCCACTGCCATGGCAACCCCTCCACATAGCCAACCTGAAGAGGAGGGCAGCAGCAGTCAAGATGAGGAGGGGCCAAGCAGCAGGGAAGGTGCTGAGTCCTCTCTCTGAGATGCCCTACATTTGAAGAATGCTTACTTGGTGGAGTTCCTGCTCCTGAAGTACTGTACCAGGGAGCCAACCCCAAAGGCAGAAATGCTGAGTAGCATCATCAAAGAGTACCAGGAACACTTCCTTGAGATTTTCAGCACAGCCTCTGAGTGCATGCAAGTCCTCCTTAGCATTGATATGAAGGAAGTGGACCCCAGTGACCACACCTATGTCCTGGTAACCACTTTGGGCCTCACCTATGATGGGATAGTGAGTGATGGGCACAGATTTCCCAACACTGGCCTCCCTCCTGGTCACACTTCTGTGGGTGATTGCTGCAAAGGGTGATTGTGCCCCTAAGTAGAAAGTATGGGAAGCACTGAATGCCATAGGGATGCATGATGGGAAGGAACATTGATTCTACAGGGAGCCCAGGGAGCTCATCACCAAAGTTTGGGTGCAGGAACAGTACCTGGTGTATGGGCAGGTGCCCAATAGCGATCCTGCATGCTATGAGTTCCTGTGGGATCCCACGGGTCACGCCGAGACCACCATGTTGAAAGACCTCAAGTTTTTGCTCCAGGTTAGTGACAGGGATCTCAGGTTCCTCCCATCCTTGCCTGAAGGGCCACTATGCCTGAGCCATAGTTGCATCCAGGCACATTTCAGGCTCATATTCATCAGCTTCATTTGCTGGGCATGAAGTGAGGCCCATTTTCCACTCTGTGTTTGAGGAGAGAGCAGACAGTGTTCTAGATAGTGAGGTCCAGGGTGAGTTGGGGAATATGGGCTGTTGCATCTTTGGGCTTCTGTGATGATTTAGAAATTTATTCTTGTTTTCTGTAGAAATTTTTCAAATGTTGTTCCTTTTCATAGAAGTTTTCATAAGCCTCAGCATCTAAGTTTGTGAATGACATTGAGCATACATGTATTTGCATTATCCGGGTCAAGAGTAAGAGTTTTGCTACTGTGTGAAAGAAATTGGGGCATCTTTCAGCTTAGTTTGTGATTCTGAACTAGATAACATGGCATTAGAACAGGATTTCCTTGAAAATGTGAAAAAACTCAGCAGTACAATCAATGGGGTCAAGAAATAGAGAAAAAAAAGCAAAAGGTTGTTAATTCTTGCTTCTTATCCCTTTTTGTCTGTCATTCTGAGACAAATTATGTAAGTATCCTTGGATTTGCTTGGTTCATTCAAGAAAGTGGAGACATTTCACCTGAATAAAGATGACCCCTGCTCAGTGGTTCATTTATTCCTTAGACATTCACTGAGCCTCTTTCCTCTGGAAGGCCTTGTGTTAGTAGTGGTGACACTAATATAAGCAGGACATACCCACCCACAGAATGACAATGTGGGAGCCACATTCATATAAAGAAGGTGTTGAGGTGTCCCGTAAGTCCTACAGAACAAGTAAAAGAAAGAGAGGTGATGGGACACCAAGGGAAGGCAGTCAAATGTACATGGCCCAAGCCAGGGCTATCTGAGGCTTTGGACAACTGTGATTCCCTCTGTGGGGGTTGATTGCAATGAAGGTGGGTGGTGGCAGTGACCTGACATTGCAGACTATTTGTCTTGGGCTTGAGTAGAAAGTGAGAAACAATAAGGTGCTCTGAAGTTCCGCTGGGTCATGGGTAAAGCAGAGTGAAGTGTCCACTGGAAGGAAGGCTGTCCATTCTGTGCTTCTGTCACATTGCCGAAGAACACAGTGAAGAGCTAGGTGTTTTATCCCCATTACCTGCTGGATTTCCTGAGAAATAAGGGCTTGCTCCCTGAAGTAATGCCCCTAAAACACTAGGCAGACACACTTCTTCTTGTCCTTGGAAAGCCAGGACTGACTTCATTGTTATCACAAATTATGCTGACACGTCACTTGTGTTGCCTGGCCATTTTTAGTTCTCTTGCCTGCTATGTTGTGATATCTTCGCCCCTCCCCAAACATCCTGGGCCCATTTCTTGACCACAGTGAGGCTTTGTTTTCTCTGATAACAGTAGTAGGCACTGCTTCATGAGGTCTTGAGGATTCAATGGGACGTACATTAGGTAGCAAGGTACTTGACACTTAAATCATAGGTACTGTAACTTTTCACTAGGGATGCTAACCCACCCCCACATGCCTCTGTTCTTCAGCCAACGGTAGAATGTTCTTGACACCCATTTCCCTCTACATGCTGCATGTCAAACTGTACCTCAAGACTCATTAGGGATGATCACTCATCTCCTCATGCCTTGCCCATCTGTGGCACATAGTTGTTTTTTTTGAGGTAAAGGAAGAGACAACTATGGGAGAGAAGAGAGGGCAACACCCTCTAAGTCCTTAGAATAATCTGACTGAGAGCACACCACCAAGTTCTGATCTAGGTCCAGCTGTATAGGTAATGATATTCCCTGCCTTGGAACCCTGAAACCTGCAAAGTTGGAACCACATTATCCTTCCTTGGCTCTATCAGACCAATGGGTCAGAGGCAGGGCCACTTTAAGGAACCTGGAGATTCTAGTTCTGGGCTGCAATGAAAATTGAGCCCACCTCCAATTTCTCCTTTGCTGATTCATACCCAGACACCTTCCCAAATTATTCTTTGGATATACAGCCCTCCCATATTTCCCTGCTCGAAGACTTGGGTCTGTGTTCAATTTTCCCATGCCCACATTCTTTTCTACCTTGAGTCCTTATCTTGAAACATTTGGGGTTGGCTACCAAATTCCAGAATTCCTGCTGCTGAGTGACTGTCCTATGATGAAGTGAGGCCCATCTAATAGGTCATCAGTCATCCTTGAAGCAAAAGTTCTTCTATTTTCCCCTGCTCTGTCCTTTGAAAGTCTGGTTTACCAACTCCAGCCATATCAAGACCATTTAGCTTGTGACAATTCCCCTTGTCACAAAACCTTTCTGAGCTCAGAATATAATTCTGCTTGTGAAAATATAGGTAAAAGCCCACTGGGTCCTCAGAAGTATATTTACTGTCTGCTGTGAAAAGTCAATTCCATGTCACAGAATAAAATGTGTCCATTTGGATACTTGCAGCAAGGAGTTTTCAAGGTCATGCTCATTTCAATGCCTGATAAATGGTATGTAATTTAGATATTACCATATTTTTAAATATTGGTATTTCATAGTCAAAGAGATTCTAACTTATTAACTTATGAGGTGAATCAGATATCATTCACCAGAAATCATTGCAATTAGTCTCAAGATAAGATCTACCAACAATGGTGGCAGGTCTTGTAAGTGACCTGAAAAACTGCTGAAAAAGTGACATCAGCAAAACTGTTAGAGTAAGAACCCCCTAATGGCTTTTGTCCATAAATGCAATGAGAAACCTGGTAAAATTTTCAGAATCAGAAATGAAAGAGGGACCTTACTAATGACTTTAGAGGAAAACAAAGGATTATAAGAGAGTTCTTATGAACATCATGCCAACAAATTAGATAAGGTGGATGAAATGAAAAAATTCCTAGAAATATACAAACTAGGAAAACTGACTCAAAAATAAATAGAAAATCTGATTAGATTTATAACTTGTAAAAGGTTGCATTAGTAACCAAGCACTTGCACCAAAGAAAAGTCTCAAAAAATGTCTTCACTAGTGAATTGTACCAAATGTTTAAAGAAATAGATCAAGCCCGGCCAGGCATGGCTCAGCTGTTGAGCGTCGACCTAGGATCCAGGAGATCTGGGTTCGATTTCCGGTCAGGGCACATGCCCGGGTTGCGGGCTCGATCCCCAGTTGGGGGCATGCAGGAGGCAGCCGATCAATGACTCCCTCATCATTGATGTTTCTATCTCTCTCTCCCTCTCCTTTCTTCTCTCTGAAATCAATAAAGATATATTTAAAGAAAAAGAAAAAGAAAAAAAAAGAAATAGATCAAAAGAGAACTCTTCCTAACTCATTCTGCGAGGCCAGTACCACCCTGCTAACTAACCCAGACAAAGATATCACAGGAAAATAAAATATAGATCAATATCTCTTAGGAATATAAATTCAAAAATCCTTAACAAAATACTCTTACCTAAATCCATTAGAATATAAAAAGGATTATACACCACAATCAAATGGGATTTATCTCAGGCATCAAAGTTGTTTCGGTATATGAAAAACAGTCAATATAACATCATATCAATAGAGTAACGGAAAAAACATGATTATCTAAAAGACATGAAGAACTTGAAAAAATCTAACAGTGCTTCGTGATAAAAACACTCACAAATAGAAAATGTGGTGAACTAAATAATGGCTCCCCAAATATATCAATGTCCTAAATCCTGGAACAAGTGAATACTACGTTATACATCAAATTCCTAGCAGATGTCATTAAGTTATGAATCTTGAGATGGAAAGATTATCCCTGATTATGTTAAGTGGACTCTAAATGCAATCCCATGTGTCTTTATCAGAGAGGTATTTGATAAACACAGAGGAGGAATAAGACATGTGAAGA